GTCCCCGAGGAGCCGCCGCCGCTGCCAGCGAAGGTGCCGGGCGCCGGGCCCTCCCCGCCGGCGCGGCCGTCATCGCCGGGAGCGGGTGCGCGGCGGGAGCGCCGGGAGACGGCCGCGGCCAGCGCCGCCGCGCAGGAGCAGGAGGAGGAGAAAGGGTGCGCAGCCCGGAGGCGGGGTGCGCCGGTGGGGTGCAGCGGAAGAGGGGGTCCAGGGGGGAGAACTTCGTAGCAGTCATCCTTTTTAGGAAAAGAGGGAAAAAATAAAGCCCTCCCCCACCACCTCCTTCTCCCCACCCCTCGCCGCACCACACACAGCGCGGGCTCCTCGCGCTCGGCACCGGCGGGCCAGGCGCGTCCTGCCTTCATTTATCAAGCAGCTTTTCGGAAAAATGCATTTGCTGTGGGGAGTTTAATCAGAAGAGGATTGCTGCCCCCGTGCCCGGCGCGTCCACCGGGCCCCCCGTCCCTGGGTCTCTCTCCCGGGGAGGCGTGGAGCGGTCCCGCGGACAGGGGTCCACGTCTGTGCCCGCGCGTGTGTGCGCGCGTGTAAATTGCCGAGAGGGGGGAAAGGACTGAAAATTGTAATTCATCGGCCGCCGCTGCTGCCTTTTTTTTTTTCTTCTTTTTTTTTTTCCTCGTGCTCTTGAGATCTTGGGCTGGGATTCTTGCGGATTGACATTTCTGTGAAGAAGTCTGGGAATCAATCTGGAAATTCTCATGTTTACCACCCTCCCCTGCCCCCTCTCCCCCCAACTCCTGATTCGTTCGGAAGTTTTAAAGCAGCTATAATCCGAGAGTTCTGAAGATCGGTGGACTCTACCTTATGCATTTGTTTTGTTTTCATTAAAAAAGGAAACTTGACAGAGGATCATGCTGTCCTTAAAAAATACAAGTAAGTTCTTTGCACAGGAAATTGGTTTAATGTAACTTTCAATAGAAACATTTGCGATTTTGTCTTTTTTAAGTGCATTCGAGTAAGTTTAATTTCCAGGCGGTTTAATACATTCTTTTTAGCCGTGTAACTTGTAGTGTGTCTGCCCTTTCACCCAGTGTATAAGGGAAAATGCACCTGATTTGGACTTAGCAGTGTTTCTTTTTTTTTTTTTAACCTTTCAGGATCACGAAGGAAGCAGACTGATATTGACAATAATTAATAATCATGTGCCTCATGCAATAAAGATCCGAAAGGAATTTAACTAAAAATTTCCTGCATCTCATGCCAAGAGGGAAACACCAGAATCAAGTGTTCCGCGTGACTGAAGACACCCCCTCATCCAAGAATGCAAAGCACATCCAATAAAATAGCTGGATTATAACGATTCTGCTTTCCTTCGGGGCCGTGGGGCGGGAGAGGCGGCGAGAGGTGCTGTTGGTACCCGGCTGCAGTTTCCTCGAGGGAAGGATGGCGCACGCCGGGAGAACAGGGTACGATAACCGGGAGATAGTGATGAAGTACATCCACTATAAGCTGTCGCAGAGGGGCTACGAGTGGGATGCCGGAGACGCGGGCGCCGCGTCCCCGGGGGCCGCCCCCGGGCCGGGCATCTTCTCCTCCCAGCCCGAGCGCACCGCGGCGCCCGCCAGGACCTCGCCGCCGCCGCCGCTGGCCGCCCCCGCTGCCGCCGCAGGGCCTGCGCTCAGCCCCGTGCCACCTGTGGTCCACCTAACCCTGCGCCAGGCCGGCGACGACTTCTCCCGTCGCTACCGCCGCGACTTCGCCGAGATGTCCAGCCAGCTGCATCTGACGCCCTTCACCGCGAGGGGACGCTTTGCCACGGTGGTGGAGGAGCTTTTCAGGGATGGGGTGAACTGGGGGAGGATTGTGGCCTTCTTTGAGTTCGGTGGGGTCATGTGTGTGGAGAGCGTCAACCGGGAGATGTCGCCCCTGGTGGACAACATCGCCCTGTGGATGACTGAGTACCTGAACCGGCACCTGCACACCTGGATCCAGGATAACGGAGGCTGGGTAGGTGCATGTCTGGTGGAATGTGAGCCTGGGCTGCACGTCTCGGGTCAGGGATGCGGTGGTTGTGGTGTGGGGGGGTTCCTGGGCCAAGGGCAGGCTGATGGGCCGGTGAAGTACATCGGGTTTGGTGCTTCCCACCTCTTCCACGGTACAGAGCGCTCCCTGCCAACCATACTGTGATCATTCTTGGCTCGCCAGCTGTTGAGGTTCAAAGATCCAGCATTTGCTGTACAGTGAGATCTTGGGATAAATGGTATCCCTTCAGGGTTTCTCCAGCTGGAGGTCCAAGGATCCCCAGCATCACAGCTACCTGGCCTGAGTCAGTTGTTGAATTTGGAGATTTCAGGGACTACTTACTCATAAACCAGACCCCGGGTTGGGTCCTGGCAATCAGCATCCTAAACAAGTTCCCCTGGGGGTTTCTTCTTTGTACTAAAATTTGAGAACCACCCACTTAGAAGAACAGACTGCACCAGAGGACCACGGTCATGCCTTTTCTGACCCACTTGGTAAAATCTACCCAAAGGAAAAAAACCAATGTAGCTCCTTTCCCTGGAAAGCTTAGCTGTGTTTGTAAAGAGGTAAGTTGACTTTCCAGAAGTCTGGGCACTCCAGCCGAGAGTGTGTGCCACATTCCCAGTCGGTATCACCCAGTATCTTGCAGAACACTTACATTGTCTCATCACGGACAGAATTTGCATTGGCTGTGTATTTTGGGTTCTGTTCCTATAACTGGTGTACGATTTTACTGTTTACTGGAATGTTAGTATCTTTTACTTTTCATCACCCAAATCCACATCATTTGGTGGTTTCCTCTGCTGAACAAACTTGCGTCTACAGTATCTGCATGGAGCATACAAGAATTGAATCTTAGCTGTGAATTGTCTCATGCTCTGACTTTAGTTGAAGTGATTGATGCCTGTAGTTTTGAAGAACACCTGTAGTTTTGAAGAACACCTGTGAGATGATTTTTTTTTTTCCTGGTACTGTGCTCAACAGAGCTTCCATCGTGTTGCTTTAAAGTTCTTGTTTGTGTGTGGTTCTTCGGGGCAGGAATGCAGATCCTAAGACTGAGGAACTGTAATTGAGATCTATGCTTTGTATCTAAAATTATTAGTTTATGAAAAAGTAAAAGAGGAATTAATTGTTGTCTGAATTTTTTTCAGACCTTTTTTTTTAATCTGAAGAATTACCTTTGAAAAAGGATGCAGTTCAGTGCGTCCTTTTATAGTCTCTGGGGAGAATTCCTAATGTTATTATTTTACAGGACCTAACAGGAGAAAAAGCCTAGAAATGATTACCAGTGGATTTGATTTGATGAAGCACATTAGGTATTTTACTACAGTTTACCAAGTGTGCTGATACTAAGGGGCCAAAAAGAGAAAAGACCAAGAAAGTAGATGACTGACGTGCACATCTGATCCTGCTTGACCAAAGCTAACAAAATATGGATGCCACTCTTCAGTGTTTAAAAGTAAAATTGACTAAAATATCCCCTCTATTTAAATCTCTAAAATTTAAGTGCTGTTTGTACATTGTTTATGTTTTGAGCTCCCATATTATCAGATCTTTAGTAATTCTGGAAGAATTCACTAAAAAGTGAAAAGAATATCTTTGTTAAATGGTTAAGTAGGTGGTTTTATTTTTAACCATCATAACCAAAGAGGTAGGGACTTACAGACTGCAAAAGGATCATTTTGAGACCAAAGTAAAACTAATTTAACAGTTTTACTATTTCATATTTTTATGAAAAATAAAATATTAAAAAATTTCCTTTCTAGCTGAAAGAAATCCATGGTGGCAACTGTCATCTATCAAGTAATTTAATAAAAACATGGGAAACAGAGAGAAATTTATGATTGAAATTCAGATATAACCTTGATGTTTGTTGTCGAGTTATAGTAATCTCATCCAATTGAGTTTTCTTTTTAAGTGAAGGCTCGCTTTTTCCTCCTTTCAAAATAGTGTTTCCATAGTAGAGCCTATCTTTGTGGTCAACAGGTATCTGAGGTTAATAAATGTAGAGGCTACATTTTATGATGCCAAACCACAATGACATACTGTATAACATGATAAAAAATTGTTTTGACAAAACCTCTTATAGTAAAAATAAATCAGAGAGAAGCAGAAACGGCTGATGGTAAAATGTGTAGTTTTTCAGAGCAACATATAGATGGATGACTATATAGGAAAACAAAGGAATTTGGTGCAAAAAAAGTATATGCAATAAAAAAAAAGGGAAATGCAATCATAAGTGGACACTTTGGAACAAAAGTGGTAGCATTTGAGAATTATAGATGATTTACCTATCCTTTCAAATGTGCATTATTAATCTAAATTTGTGTTTTAGGCATCTGGCAACTAGATAGATTTTTCTCCAGATTTGCATCAGTCAGGGTTGCATCTCTAATAATATGCTGCATCTGCAAAGCACTCTTAATAATAATAGAGAGCTAGGACACTCTTTGGACATTCCACTGTGACTTGCTCTGGTTGCAGGACCCAGTAGACCAGCTCATCTACTGAATATATACTCATAGGGCTTTCAATCTGAAGTCCCTTTTTTAAATCTTTGCTGCTGATGATGCAAAATCAGAACCTTTGGAGGTGAAGGGATCTCTTTGCATTCCATGTTCCATAACTTGGAGAAAGCAGGGACTTGGAACGATGGCTTCTGAAAGATGGTCCCAGAGGCTTACAAATTAAATAAAGACTAAAGAAGAAACTGGGTGGAGAGTGAAGTGTGGCTATATTCCTATGTCTGAGTAAGGCATTGTGTGGCACCCAGAGAAAGGCAGGACAGAGGGAGCAGGGAGATGGCTGCAGTTCTGGGGAATGTCTAAGACCCTGCTGGTCAAAGTGTGGTTCACAGACCAGCAGCTTGGGTGACATCTGGAAGCTTCTTAGAGACGCAGAATCTCAGGTCCCAACCCAGAGTCAGAATCTGTGGTTAACATGATCTATAGGTGTCCATGTGCACATTTAAGCTAGAGATGCTGGCAACCATCTTCTACCATTCCTGGGGGACAACTTTTAGGAGGAATGACAATCTGGGATGGATCCTACAGTGTCCCTTTCCAGTGGCTTCACAGGTCCATTGTATTACCTAGAATACTGAATGTGTCCCATACATCCACGAGGGTGGTCTGACCCTTGGAAGAAATAGGTTGGAATGAAACAGAGATGGGAGATAAATTATGGTAAGCTTGGTTCTTCTCAAGAATGCTTTTTCACGGTAGCTATGCACTTTGTGTTGGCATCACCCATTCAAGTAAGATAGCTTTTCTACTCCAGCTAAAGGCAGGAAGATTTAGCTCTTTTAATGGCTGTGTTTGGTATTATTTTATCCCCTGGAACACAGTTTAAATTCTGGAGATGGGTGTAGTGGCCCTGAGACTGCTTCAAGACAAAGGGGCTCTTGCAAGCAAAGGGTTAAGATATGGGGAAGTTGGTGGTGAGTGAAAATTGATAGCACCCTCCAAACTGAGAAATGTAACATTTAGTTTCATGTCTTAGAAGAGAGTGAGATAGGACTACTAAAAGAATGAGATGGCTTAAAGAGGAGACTGGCTTCATTCTGTGGATGGTGGTGTGCCTTTTTTTTTTTTTTTCATCTTTTGGTCTTTGTGGTTTAGGAAGGAAAACTTACTTCTCTACATCCAGTAGAAGTTAGCTTCCTTTTATTAGTTGGTCAACAAGTTTCTCTTTTCTCTATGTAGTCCACATCCACCAGAACATTTGATTAACTGGAAAGCAGTACCATTACTTATGCCAGTGTACAAAATATATGAAAAAAGCATAATTTTTCTAGTGGTTGAGTATCATTGGCTTATGGCCAATTTTGGCAGCAAAATAAGATTAAAAATAGCCTGACAATTATCCAGTCTTAAATAATATATTTAATGATGAACTTCCCTGGGGAAAGTGCATCTCTCTGCCTGCTAAGAATCACATGACCCCTTTCAATAATTCATGTTGTAGAAAAAAAAAATACATGATTGCTATTAGAGTTTGCAGTCATGTGCTGTTGCGTGATTGTATTTCTGGACCTTTGTAAAATTTTATAGTTCGTTCAGTTCTCTTTTCTGTTTTAGGGCCTTTGTTGCAATTCACTGTCGGTTGAAAACATGGCTTTCTTTTGCGCATCCTGTTACTTTTTCGCTGTGCTTTCTAGTGAGAACTGATTGATCTTTTTAGCAATCCTTGATTGAACTGGTACATTTCAGATTGCTTAAATGTCATTAGGCCACACAGCACACCAGGTAACAGAAAACCACAATTTTTTTTTTTTAAAGCCAAACTCTTACAGTTTTTCCTTATCTCTACTCCCAGTCCTTGTCAGCGTTTTGGAGGAATGATAAACCCACTCATAAAGCAGGTGTGTGGGTGCCGCGTGTCTCGGTAGTGGTGCCTCCCACTCAGCACACCCCCACACCCATTTCTGAGGTCACTCATCATGTCTTCGCAATAGTTGAGCAAAGCAGGATTTCAGCAGAAGTGCATTCGCGCTAGAAATACAACACTGTCTTTGTAGTGTACAAGTAGAAAGGTTTTTCCCCCCAGAGATATATTGTATTTGAGGTTCAAAGGTTCTGTTAAACCTTTTTAAGGTAACCTAATATCACCTATTCAGGTACAGCGGTAACCTCCAAAGCTGGTCACCCTTTTCCCTCGGCTACATACAGAGACCACTCAGTGAATTTAACTTCACTATGAAGCTTCTCTTTCATTCCTCTTGGTTTGATTCAAACAAAATTAGCGTTTGACGTGTAAATGGGGTTAACGATGAAAATCAGCCAAGGACTGAGACAGTTTTATTCGACAGACACGATTGCAAGTCTTCTGTGTGCCCTCCCTGGGTTCGGTTGGGGGCACATGAAGGAAAGCTTCGCCCCTCTCCTGGGTGACCTCACGGGTTAGTAGCTGTAGGGGTCTTAGTAAACTCACTTCCCAGGCAGCCCGATGGCTGGGATCCGACACTCTCAGAGGGAAAGAGGAAA